GGCCATCCGGGACACGATTGGGGGGATCCATTGTAGGTTCGAAATGGAAGCCCTCGAAGAAACCAAGGAGAGGAGGGTTGTGGCGGTGGTGGAGGCGAAAGCGGCGAGAGAAGCCGGGGTCGGAGACGAGGCCGTGCCAGCGCTTGGAGACGAGGGAGGCGCGAGGGAGGGAGGGAGGGCAGATCTGGCGGGAGGCGGAGGAGTATCTCGGAGAGCAGGTTGTCGTCCTCCAGCGGCGGCACCGGCGCGGGCGGCGGCGGCGGCGGCTCATCTCGTCACAGCTGATGCCGGAGGTTTTTTCTCAGTGGTGAACAAACTATATTCCTCAAGGTACAGCATCAGGGATAAACAGCAAGTCCGGCTTAGATAATAGCCATACATGACGACCGAAATTTAAAGATACATCAGCATTGGCAAGGTCATGTGCTTCATAATTGTGATCCCTCTTCTCATGTGTAATATGGGCTTCAACAAACTCCCGCTATTTCGGCCCAGATATCTTCCCTGAAGATTCTTGACAGTAGCTAAGCAATCAGTAGCAAGCTGAACTTTTTGCAGGTATAGATCACTGGCCAAAGCAAGACCTTCCGCACAAGCCATGGCCTCTAGAGATTCAGGGTCAATTTGGCCCCTGATAATCATAGCAGAGGAACCCATATAAACGCCTGTGTCATTGGGAAATACCCAATGGTTCCTGGGTACATATGTACCCTATATGGGGATTTCTTTTTAATAGTTGAACAAAAAATCAAAATAGTTAAGAAACTATTTTTAGAATAAAGTTGACTTACTTGCGCACTAGTATACACATTTTCAGAAAAAAGAAAACTATATTGACTTCACAGCGAAAAAGACAAAATTTATTTGCTACCATAGGTCAGTATTCACGCTATTTTGACCGGAAATTTGTCTTTTTTGAAAAGAAGTCAAAGAGGAATTTTATGTTTTTGTCACTTTTCTCATTAGTACAATAGAAGGTCAAGTTTTTATCAAAAATATTTTTAGAAATTTTGACTTTTTGTTGAATTACTAAATTTTTATTGCATATAGGGTACATATGTACCCAGGAACCAAAAGTTCCCCTCCCTGTGTCACTCCGCTCCTCTATCTTCATGCCTTGAAACAGCCACGTCCACCTTGTGGGCCATATGGTGGGCTCATGCCGGAGGTGGTGGAGTGGAAACAGCAGCCCAGGATGTGGGCTTGTGGAGTGACACTCGTTTCTTTGTCGATCCGCCGGGAGAGACAAGGAACGGCCCACGAGAGCTCAAATAAATGAAAGCCCACTACACACAACCAGAACGCATAAACGAAGATTTCTTTTCCCTAAAAAAACGAAGATTTTTTGCCTTTTGATTGGTTTTCAGAAGCTAACCGTATGTGCACAGAACCAACAAAAATAGTAGTAAAAGATTTTCATCAGTTTCAAAAAAAAGAAAAACTCATACAAGATTCAACGGTCAGCCAACAAGATTTAGACCACCCGAGAACGGCATGGCCACGACAAAACAAAGTTCACACATCAAAACAAGAAAATTTAGCCGCCACTAACGTGATCGTCATCACCCCCACCCCATCACGGCCTAGCGACCCTAACTTCACGACAAACGAACACATACGTGCTTTATGTAGTGGTTGGCCTTCCTATTTTCATGCCCTCTTTAGTCGAAGAGCCAAGTATGCATAGGAATCAAACAAACTTGCATGAAGGACAGTTTTCTTCTCCGCCCAGCCGTGAATGCAACGAGTCATGCAGACCAGACCATGGTTGTTGGGCCACATGCTAGGTATAGATAATTTCAGATAAAAATTGAACTTCAAAAAAGGAATTCTTTTGATTCAACTATCTCTTTCTCAACTCAATAACTTGAAGTATTAATCTTGTATTTAGAATACCAAGAAAGCACATCAAATCATAATATATATCAATACCCTCTTTTTTTTGAATTTTCTTATTATCCTTTCATTTCCTTTTTATAATATAAAGAAGATCTAGAATATATTCAGATGTGTGTGTATATTTATCTAAATTCTAGATTTATAGATAACGTAATCCTTCTCAAAACGGTGCTACCACGTCTCCGACTCCACCGTGATGCAATGAAAACAGATCACATGAACCCCTGGACACGTTATGGATCCCACTACCAAGCTCTTGGCGCGACCTAAGTGTCACATGCTACCATTTTATTTCCACACAAGCCAACATGCCTTAACCCAAGTTAGATATATATCGTTTGAACTTTGCCATGTAACCTTGATTCCTAGACTAGATCTAGAAAAATTGGATCGTCGATGTCCTCACCCTACCTGCTCAACCAATTAGGCTAGAACATGGGGGGTAGGGTTCCAAATCCGTGTCAACATGGCTCATGATACCATGATGTTGTAGTGCATGGGCTAAAGTACCCTGATTTGTCCCGGTGTTCACAAATTGGAGGTGTCTACGAATAGGATCGCGAAAAAATGAGGGAAAATCACAAGAGAAACACTCAAGAATAAGTCCAATCACACATCCACTAGACAATCAAACACACAAGATCTACAAGGTACATGAACAATCAAAGGAAAAAAATACAAGATAGAGTTCATCCCAAATTCAAAGGAGATGAGGTCTTGATGATCTAGATAGATCCTTCCCTATAAGGGGTCTTAAATCCCTAAGTATCTTCTTCAATGAAGGTCTTGAACTCCAACGGAGTGTCTCTCTCTCAAGAGGAATCCCACAAGGGGAGGTACATGAGGTAAGCTCCTATGTCTAGATATATTCTTAGCTATCCTACAAATGAGGTGGAGGAGGAGTATATATAGGTCCAAGACATGAAGGGGTAAGTAGGGGCATAGTAGGGGCATAGTAGGGACTACATGGGCAAAGCCCAACAGTTGCACGCAGGAGGCCCCGTGCGCACGAGGTATCCAGAAACCTGGGGACTTAGCCCGTGCACACGGGGTCCAAAGGACCATGCGCACGGGGTATCCAGAGGCTCGCAGCATGTCGCCTTCTCGTGGACACCCGTCGATGCTGGTGGAACTTGGCCTTCTTCCCAATGGCTCCTTCTCCGCTGCCAAGCTTCCCTTTTGGATGGTGTTGTTATTCTCTTGAGCTTGGACTCCTCCTCAATGAATGTGTAGCTCCACTCACACCTATGTATGCACACGAGAGAGGGGTCAAGTAGCATACCATCCTCAAAGGGCACACGTGAACACGTGTAAAGGAGATGATTCACATTTATGTATGTGAAGTAGATGTAGCACGTGTCCCTTGCTAAACGGACTCTTGACATGGTGATGCCCATAGGATGCTCCGCAGCAGCTAGGCCACAACAATGAGCATCTCGAGAACAAAAACAGACATCACAGAGAAGAACCGGGTACTCGACTTTGCAGCTGGGTTGCTGCCCCAAGAAGGGGAACCCAATCCCCTACCACCCAAGATTGGTGATGTCGAACCCCGTTGGGGCAGAAAGCCACACACCACGCAAGAAAACACCACCAAAGATGATCTCGGATCTGCAGGACATGGCATCGCTCATCACCATAGAGAGAACCTCCCAGCTACCAGACGCTTCTGCTCCAAAGAACCACTCAACCATAACCACGGATCAGGATGACGCCTAATCTGAAGTGGATTTTGAGCTTTCACTCGGGAGCAGGGGAGGCGTGGGAGGAAGGGTCCTCAACGGCGCTTCTAAGGAGGAAAGTGGTACCCCTGGGCGGCGCAACCAAGGCCGGAATAGCCGGTCAAGGGTTCCCCCTGGACCCAAACCTGTGCCACCAGCGCCTCACCAACAAGGACTCCCGCAGCCAAGGTCGTCGTGCACCAGTATGGGTGAGGAGTGATCCAGAAAAGGGGGAGGAGTCGTACCATCAGACCCGACGAAGAAGAAGGCCCCCGCCATGACCACCAACAACCAGGAGCCTCATTGCCCGAGCGGCCAAGGGAGCTGGCCACCAGGACCAATGAGGCCCGCCTGCCATCAAGACGCCATTGCATCACCACCCAGGGCCCCTACCCCAGCGACTACTGCCCTACACGAAAGAACTGAAATGGTGAGATCCCCGCCACCACCATCATCGGCGGCCATGCAGGATTGCCCGACGACCTCCTTAGATGGCGGCAAGTGAGAAGTGGGAGGGGTCCGCGAGGAAACCCTAGGCGCCGCCCATGTCGCTCGAGCGGATGACGCTAGGGCAGGGAGGGGGAGGATAAAAAGAAGGTCAGATCGTGCCCGCCATGTTACGAAAAATTTAAGGAGTTAAAGCTTTTTAAGGGTCCGGATAGAGATGCTCTCATGTACTACTCCCTCCTTTCCAAAATAAATGGCTCAACTTTGTACTAGCTTTAGGGTGTGTCTGTTTGGGCTGCAACGGCTCTAACTGGAAGGAGCTGCAGCTGAAAGGTTGGAGCTTAGTACAAAGTTGAGTCACTTATTTTGGGACGGAGGGAGTAATACATAGGGCTATGTTGCTTGTAAGCCTTTTTCATTTACACACGTATAAAAAGCTTTTTTTGTTTTTGTTGTTTACTTCTACGGCTTTTGCTAAGACTTGGCCGAGGAACCTTGTGGTGGACATGTTTATCCGGGCTTCTTCTCAATGAAATGGAGCCAGCCGGGGGAGCTCCTTCCTGTTGATCCAAAATATAACATCGCAATATTGAGAACCAATTGCAGTCACTACTAGAATTTGCAGTTACGCCTCTGGCCGTCGGTATAGGCCAGATAGCCGTCGTAACAGTTGGAGGTTTGCCGACAGCATTTCTACCTATGCCGACGGCCCGACAAAAAGCTGTCGGCATAGAAAATTTCGCGATATCCAGTTATTCGGTAGTGAGTTCCATCATGACAATTCACGACGAGCAGTTCAATAATTCCACGAGACAATGTGTCTGCATGAAGTGCGTCAGAATGGGGTACACATAAATTACGGGTCGATCGACCGACGGATCTCTACGGTTTCAAATCATTTGATGACCAGATATACAGATCATGAACTCCTGATTAATTTTTGAGGAGCTCCTTGACGAAGGCGACCACCTTGGCCTTGTCCACCGTCCACGCCACCGAGATGGGCGTGTAGCCCGACCACGCGTTCTCCGACTTGAACCTGCACGCCATTGACGCAGACATCAGCACAGTGAGCTCACTGATCAAACGACGAAAGATTATAAAATACTCATTGATTGATTGATTACTTCTTGAGCCCCATGTCCATGGAGGTGTGGCCTCTGCAGATGCCCTGGGTCTCCACCCGCACCACGCCCTTCCTGAACGTGAAGAGCTCCGGCCGGACCAGCGCCGCGAGGCTCACCGGGTCGTGCAGGAACACGGCGGGGTCGCCGTACGAGTGGAGGTGCCAGTCGCTGTAGAACTTGCAGATGTCGCAGAGGAACTGCGCCTGCTTGCCCCCGGACCTCCTCAGCTCCGACAGGTCCGCCTCCGTGAAGCTCACCTGGGTGGTGATGTTGAGGCCGACCACGGCGATGTCCGCGCCCGACGTGAACACCATGTCCGCCGCCTCTGGGTCGCTGTGGATCTGTTGATCGTCCAAGAGACATCAGCACAACTTAGTCCAAGGTGAAATGAACCAAAGCTGAGTGCAGAAATTGAAATTATTCGAGGGATGTGTAGTGGTGACATTACGTTTGCCTCGGCTGAAGGGGTGGCATTCCCTGCTGCAAAGAAGGCTCCACCCAGCACCACTATCTTCTTCACCTTGCTCACAAAGGAGGGGTCCATCTTGATGGCCTGAATAAAGATTCAGAAAATGTTCATCTCCAGCAGAGGTTTTTCAAACAAAATTGTTTTTAGACAGAAACATTGATCTCCTGCACGATTCACATGCACAACCCCCCTGAAAATGAAATCATTCCGAGGTGCTTAAATAAATGTATTAACAGAGAAAGAATGTACCAATGCGAGGTTGGTCAGAGGGCCCAAGGCGAGCACCGAGACCTCCCCGGGGAACTGCGACACCTTGTCGACCAGAAACTCTGCGGCGGTTTGCTCTGCTTTCTTGGTGGTAGGTTCAGGAACTGATACGTTCCCGAGGCCATCGGATCCGTGAACAAAGTCGGCAACTTGCGGCTTCCCTCCCTGCGATTCAGAGAAAGATATGAGCAGTTCAAATTTCTATCTCACAACACATACTGACTTTCCTCTCAAAAGAAAAATGCATTCATAACTGAAGAAACAACTGAATATGCAAGTTCAGAAGGTGTTATGAAGATAAATGGTACAATTAGAATAGGCAGGTACTGGAGATTTGCTTAACAAACCAAAGTGTCAGACTTGACTTGCAACTTCCATTTGAGATCTCTAGTCCATTCTGAGAAAGCTTTGCATGCTAATTAATGTGTGCACTGCTGACACATACCACGTACAGTACTAAATATGCAAGTTCAGATGATGGTGAGTTCTGACAGAATAGGCAGGTGTTGCAGATTTGCTTAATAAACCAAGGTTTCAGACATATGACTGTCAACTTCCGTTAGAGACATTCTAAGGAAGCTTTGCATGCTACTGAATGCATGCTGAACTGTTGATACACTGTCTAATCTCTGAACAGTTGTATTCGAATGTTTGGCAAATGCGGTAACAATTGTCGAAACTACAGATTCTGCGAGCGTATTCGACTGGTTGTAAATATAACTGGTTGTACCGGTGGTTTGGGGCTCCCCACCCCCTTCTTCTATAATGAATGATACGCACACTCGTGCGTATTCGAGAAAACAGATTCTGCGAGCGGGGTATACCTTGAGAGGCTCGGCGCTGCCCTCCGCCACCGGCACGTCGGGGCGGCCTGCCTTCTCACACTGCCAAGCCAATCAAACAGGATTTTTCCTTTTCAGCAGAGTTATCAGTTAAAATTCAGCAAAATATAAATTGCAATGGAGGGTTGATGCCAGTGCTACTTGCCAGTATCAAGGCGTTGCGGGTGGCGTATGCGGTGGTGCAGTTGCCGAAGATGGTGGTGAGCCCTAGGACCTCCACGCCCGGCGCTTGGAACGCCATCATGATCGCCACGCTGTCGTCTGGCAACGGTGGACATGCCGGAGGAGCAGATTAGTAACACAGGGAGGAAAAGGGAAGATGGCCGCAGTGATGCCCTCTCCTTCCGAGGTCCGAATAAGAAAAGAGTGTCTGCCTACGTGCTAAAATGATGCAAAAGGAGTAAACGTACTTCATCGATTCTATATTAGTTGTCGCTGATTTAGCACAAAGTTTAGTATGGATTCGGAGGGAATACTAACGTAGTAGCCAGAAGTAGCTTTGTTTCGCTTTCGACTGAAAGGCGGGAGGAGGATCAGCTACTGGCATCCATTCTACACAATGCTACTTTTAGCATCTCCGAGACCCGGGGAGTGCCAACATCGCAGGACTAGTCAACAACGGATTAGAAGGGAGAGAGGAAGAACTTGGGGCAGGTGTGCCGGTAAATTAGATTACTACTCCCTTCGTTCTAAATTACTCGTCGTAGAAATTAATGTATTTAGAACTAAAATACATCTAGATACATCCATACCTGCGACAAGTAATTCGGAACGAAGGGAGTACTATATTAGCTGGACTCCATGGATGGGGGAATGGGGATCAGGCCAGGATGCTCGTATTTTTTGGTATGGCGGATCAAGCAAGGAATGGGATCAACGCAGGATCCAGATGAGGAAGGTACGTACCTATGCCGGGATCGGTGTCGATGATGAGCTTCATCGCCTCCTCCGCCGGCTGGATCTGATGCCCGTTCGCCGCCATGGATCGCCGCCCGCCCGGTCGATCGCTCGGTGGGTAGGTGGAACCTTCCCTCCGTCGGTCACTCTGTCTCCTCTGCCTGGAACTTACTTCTTCCGTCCGTCCTCTCTGTTTGCCCTGGCTGGGCAGAGAATTTTCCGCGTTTGGCCAAGTAACAAGTAGAGATCGATCTTGTCACATGCTGCTGCTGACTGTCGTGGGTTAGTCCGATCTGGACGCCAATGGCAGATGAGTGTGCACGCCTATTTTCGCATGATTTCTTTTCCTTTCCCGGGGGAAACTATGAGGTTTATTATTCCTCTATATCCATAAAAGCATCTATAGTCGCGCATACCAAATCCGGCACCCTACACGTCCGCGGACAATGACTTATCAGTCCTCAAATCACCTCATCCACATCTATATACCCGGTACCCTAAATCCATACTACGCATGCAACGTAAAGCTAAACTACGTAGATCATCAACGAAACAGATGGACATAATCCGAGCCTCCAGCCGCCCCTCACCGGTCCTCCTCGCGCCACCGGCTGGCCAAGGCCATACCGTGACGGACCTGGGCAGGACGCCAGATCCACAGCCATCGAGGCCATCCATCTGCATGCAGCCGCCACCCTCGTTGAATGGAGCGCCGCGCGCCACCGCCACCACCCAATCTTAGGTCACCGCCCGCCATGGAGGCTTCGATCGTCGCCGCCCTGACTGCCACCCCCGGCCTCCTCGCATGAAACGCCTTCTCCGCCTAACAGGGGATACCGCGGCGACCACCCGCCCTGGAGCCAATGGCGTCGGGCCCGCCGCCATCGCGGCCCTTGCCAGTGGCAGCAGCGGCTGAGGATGGAATGAAGGAAGTCCGGCAGCTAGGGTTAGGGGGGGGGCTGGCATCGTCCGAGGGGTTTAGCAAAAGAGTGTATGTGTACGTAGTAAAAATGATACAAAAGGAGAAAAGGCACTCCCTCCTATCCATATTAGTTGCCGCTGATTTAGTACAAAGTTTAATATGGATAGGAGGGAATACAAATGTACTCCCTCTGTCCCATAATATAAGAACGTTTTTGACACTAGTCTAACCAAAACTAGCTTTGTTTCGCTTTCGACTGAAAAACAGGAGGAGGATCAGCTACTAATATCCATTCTACTACTACTACTACACTACTACTTTTAGCATCTCCAAGATCCAGAGAGTGTGAGAACGGTTATGTGGGGCCCACACCGTAGGACCAGTCAAGAGATAACGGGAAGGAAGAAGGACGAAGGAAGGAGGAAGGAGGAATTTCAGGCGGTAAATTAAATTGCTTATGTACTAGTACTAGCCGGACTCCATGGATGGGGGAATGGTGGGGATCAGGCCAGGATGCTCGTAGTTTTCGGTGTGGCGGATCGAGCAAGGGAATTGGGTACGGGTTCGATGGGATCAATGGAGGGTCGGGATGAGGTAGGTAGGGTAGGGTCGGTGTCGACGATGAGCTTCGTCGCCTCCTCCTCCGCCGGCTGGATCTGGCGCCCGTTCGCCGCCATCGATCGCCGCGCGCCCGGTCGATGGCTCACTCTGTCTTGTTCCTTCCGTTCCCTGCTTCTGGGCAGAGAGTTTTCCGTGTTTGGGCAAGTAACAGGTAGAGGTCGATCTTGTCACATGCTTGCTGATGACTGTCGGTTAGGCCGATCTGGACGTCAATGGGTAGATGAGAGTGATCAACACGTGAAAAACTACACAGGTGGAAGTGGGGGTGGGGTGAAAAGAAAAACCACATTGAGATAGATTAAATGATGCAAGTGGGTTCGTGTCCGCATTAACCAAGGCCAGACGTGCACAGCCATTTTGGCATGGTTTTTTTTCTAGCGAAAACGATGAGCTTTATTCCTCTATAAGAGCGTACCAAATCCTGCACTCAATACAGACAGTGACCGGCCAATTCTTGAATGGCCTCGTCCACAGTCGTATATCTTGTATCCGGTACCCTAAATCGGTACTACGCATGCAGCATGAACCTAAACTACGTAGATCATCAACGAAACAGACAGACATAGAAATGGACATAATCCGAACATTGGAATCCACATAATCATCAACCAAAAGAGCACCACAATGCAGCCGACGGACAAGTTCTATGCTAAAAGTTACTAAGAACGGAAATAAAGCCGGAGAGAGGGTCGAGCTTCACTTCCTCGCCGGCCTTTTGTCCTTTTGGCCACCGGTGCTGGTGTAGGCGTCAGCGGCAAGAGGCGAGGAAGACGTCGGACCGCGGTTCTTGAGCGACAAGTTCAGGAGGAGCTTCGGGTACGCATGGTACTCCTTGTCCATCGTAGAGGCCTCTGTGCGATGGCACGACTGCTGCTTCTCCCTCCTTGACATCGGAGGAGAGGATGATCTCCTCCTTCCTAGAGAGGCTGACCGTTGTGGAGGTCGGTAGCCCCATAGAGTGATGGCAGTGGCTCAACAATCCAGATCTGGAGCCACCACATGCTGGCAGTGAGCAGAGAGGAGTGGATATGACACGGGCATGGACGGCGCGGGAGCCATGCTTAAATAGTCGTGCTAGGCAAACGGATGGGCAGTTGGCTTCAATGCGGTGCCACCGACCAAAGTAGACTTCTAGGTGCCTCGGCAGCATTGCATTGAAGCAGCGCCGCGCGCCTGCTTGTCCGATCACGTTGCTATGACTGGCATTAGTGCCACCGAGTCACGTCCGCTCTGGGCGGCCTGATCGGCATGAATGTGCGACAACCATTTCACACATAAAAGATTTTGGTGAGACTTGTCGGTCTTGCATGCACGTGCGGCGGACGTTCGAACTCCCATAAACCTTTGCATGTATTTGCGCATTGGTTCATAATGGGCACCGAAACTAGTGTATCCCCTCTAGTTGCGAGGGTCCTATGGAGTACAAGCCAATTGTGTTGGGTCGGTCAAAAAATCCCATGTAATGTACTTCCTCGGTTCTTGTGTCTACTCCCATCCCCCGCACGTCGCCGACCACCTCCAATGTCGCCTCATAACCGCAAGAATCGTGGATTTACGGGAGAAAATGGGGGGAGAAATGAGGATAGGGCGAGGGGAAGGGGATTTCGGGCGAGACGAGGGCGAAGGGAATGGCTCGAAATTTGAAACTGCTGCCCTACTACGTCTGGCGCCACTCACCGGCAAAGAAACCTACGCAGCTTATGTCACGTGGGGCCCACCAACACGGTGCGAGAGAGCGCGACGCGGCGCGAGCGGACCATGTGCGCGACGCTCGAGTCGGGCCAGGAATCCGACCAGGGAACACTTGGAGCTGTACGCCGCACGATCTGGGCTGATCGAGCGGTCGACCACGGCCGCTTGTTTCAGCCGGATAGCACGCACTTTTAAGAATTTATTTATGTTTTTTGATGAATCCTTCAAATTAGATTTCCGAAATTTTGAAAAACAGGGCTCCATCGAGCCCGGGTGCAAGAAATCCACCCCGGGAGCACGTCGCTACAGGTGTCCACACACACACTGACACACACAACTCTTGTGGAGAGCA